TATCATATTATTATTACCATTTTATTTCAATTATTAAACTGTTTTTATCTCAACCCACGAGTTTTTTCTCACTTGTGCTCTTCCAATTCTCTCCCCCATCCCACCGGGTGGGGGGGAGTGAGCGAGCAGCTGTGTGGTGCTTAGTTGCCGACTGAGGTTAAACCACGACAACATTCTACATGAACACCAGGGGAATCTATTAGGAGTATAGTACTTCAATAATTATAAATCCTATCAATTTTAAGAAAGAGAACAGTGAACGTTAAGAAGTTACCTTCAAAAACCTTAGAAGTGCGTGAAAGATTTTGACCTTATCAATGTATTTTGCAAGTATAGATCAGATCTCTACAAAATGTTTCTTGCTATGAATAACAAAGACCAAGAGCACATTTAACTATATGACCTCATTTCAAACCAGCTAAATGAAGATTTAAGAAAAAAAAAAAAGGGGGGAGGGAGGCAAGCAATCCTAAGAATTTTATTAGCATGCTGAGGCTATCTGCATTTTAGAAAGCGTGAAGGTTTTTTTTAACATATATATTATCAAGTTTGTGCTAGCTGCAGTTAAATATGGTCTGTTCCACTCAAATTTTCAAATGCTACTTTATTTGCTTAGTATTCCCACATTCATGTATACTTTTCAAGAACTAGTGGACAAAGGAAAAAGTTTTAAGTAAACAAGGTTACTATCCATTCATAATATTGTAACCAGCAGCAAAACAAAAAAACAGCTAAGATCAAATGACAGAGCAGATGCTTTCTAAAAATCAAAGTAATTTTTACACACTTTCAACGGCTGGGGAGAGGCCACTCTCTTCCCATACACACTTGAAAGGAAATACCCACCACCCTTCTTTCACCAAAAACTTGTATTAGCTCAAGCACATAGTGCTTTTACTCTGAAGAACTTTTAATCACATCACCTCCACTTCAGATTACCTGTATGTACAGAGCTGTGGGACCTGAATAGAAAATGACTGGACTACAGCTTCCGCATTAGGAGTGGACTGTGACCCTTGAGAAGTCCTAAACTTATTTTCTAAAACCACCTTACTTGTAATGACTGGTCTGTTTATTTCCCTGTGACCCTTGAGAAGTCCTAAACTTATTACAAGTAAAGTGGTTTTAGAAAATGACTGGTCTGTTTATTTCGCCATCTCCCCAATTCAGTTTTATTTTGTAAGAATCGGCAAGTTTAATTCTTGGTAATTCCACAAAAGACAAAATGTTACATTTAACATACTTTTAAGCCCTTCTAGAAACTGTCAAAGTTATTAACAAACTCAAATGTCTTCCAGTGATACTTTCATTTGTCCTCCCAAGGTAGAGCTGACAATTTCCCATACAGACTATAAGAACTGATGAATGGTAAAGAAAAAACAAAAATCCAAGATATGCGTATTGGTAAAGTTGATGACAGCTGGTGCCAAAGCACTTATGACTTGGTATGGATTTTGTACATCTACAAGCTGTATTCCACAATATTCAATATGCACCTCCACCACTAATGTACCTGATATACAGGCTGCTCATTATAGCAAAGTTAGCCTGTATCAAAAATAGATCACTGGTACACAGAAAGTACAGTTTTCTTGAAACAAATGACGATTTAAGGAGAAATAACCAAAACCCCAACCAAGCAAACTGCAATGTGTCCTGCATATAGCCAAGGAACACAAAATACTCCTAAGCCATCCTATTGCCTTGCACCCATCATAAATTCTGGAAAATACTCACATGGAGAGAACTAGAGGAAAAAACGCCAACTACTTGTATGGTGCCTTAAGTAGAAGAGCACATCTGAAAAGAAATTTTTTTCCCCAAACTGTTATCTAGCTTTATAAACATGCCTGCACTTTTTCTGCACATACACTATGTGAAAGCCTGCTATTTTCAGCCACGTCCCACCAATAATCTTGGGAATCTCCTAGGAATACGTTTCAGTATGGTATAGCACATCCAAACCAATGAGATTTCAGCCAAATCTGGCAGATGGGAACTGGTCTCAGCTCTGCTCTTACAAGTTTCATGGAAAAAGGAAGCACGACAGAGGAGAAACCTACCCAAATGCCTTAACTCAAGGAAAAGACTAACATGAGGAGCACACACCTTAGCAGAAAAGGTCATCCTTTAATGGAAGCGTCATGCAGGAGAGTGCTTTACACACGTCCCAGCCATAGAGAAGTATCAGTAAGAGCTTACATTCCACTGTGAGCTACAAAGCCACAGAAAATTAAAAACTTATTTCCAATATGTAAGAAATTGCTAAAGTCTACTAATGGAATATTATAAATGAATTTTCAAACTTACTCATGTAGTATTATGACAAGAAGTAATCTTTCATTCAATACATTCTTATGACTGAGAAAAAACATAGCAAGCATGACAATATTTAAGTCAAAGCAGAAACTGCCTTTCAGTTTTTACCTGGAAAGGACTTTCTAGAATACTCAAGAGTGATTAGATGGAAGAATTGGAAGAAGAATGAGACAACTTGCAGTTGGACTAGGTGATCTGTAGGTCCCTTCCAACTGAGCAATTCTATTACATTCTATCCTACCTGAACAAGGACTGATTTTCAACAGAAACGAGAAAGTGGTATTCAGATGTTTTGAACATCTGTCTTCATGTAAAGCAATCACATGCCCTCCAATATACCCAACAGCTGCATGCTAAACTTACAGCTCACAGATGATTAATCCTGGAAAATAACGTGTCAGGTTTTTGGTTTTTTGGGGGGTTTTTTGTTTGGTGTGTTTGTTTGTTTGTTTTTTTTTTTGAGAATCCTGCGCACCTTCACCTCTTGTAAAAGTAGACAGGACTCTCCCTACCCAGAGGGACTTCCAAGTTACTAGAAAAATACAAACACTGCCAAGTCCAAGACTTTTGCCCTCAGGCAAATCTGAAAAAACTATTAAAAATCTAATAAACTGTTTATCACAGCAACAAGGCTGAGATGCTCAAGAATACTGTTCTGTTTTCTTCCTCAAACCAAAAAGAAAATTGCTACAACTTCTAGAGCCATCTCATTTTTACATATTACGAGAACAATCCTGTCAGAAGAATTTGAACCACAGACCAAAATACAACTCTGAAGTGCAAGTTATTTGATACTGAATGCTGAAAGTATTTCAAAATAAGATAAATGAGCACAAGTACCTCCACTTTTGGAGACTTTAACCATTTCATGTCACATAATCAGTCATCATTTCAGATAACACCACAACTGACTAAAAAAAAAAAAAAAAAGATGGGGGGCTCGGTAGTTTCCTAAATCATTCACCTGTTTCAAGTACATAGCTCCTCTTGCAAAGATTTTAGACATCAAAATACTGGTAAGACATTTCTCAAACAGTTGTTTCAAGTCTTCTGCCAGCTTTAAGTATCATGAGGAACGACACAGCCAGTTTAGAAATGTAGAATATGCATTATTCTCTAATCAAGCTGAAAGACATAGCTGTCTCACAAGAATTAAGACAGATGCTAACCTATCTGCTACAGCTCAATATAAAACTTCTACCATTACATGCACTTATCTGTATTTAATTTTTAAAATGTAAATGTTCAATTTAATAGTTACCTGAACCTCTGAATTAGAATCAACAGGTTGAAGCATAAACCAGTTCTCTTTTCCTGTGTAATTGCATAAATCTTCTTTTTTGATTGACACCTTTCCTGGGGGAGGGGGGCAGGGAGAGATAAGCATAAATATCACTTATAGGATAGGACAAATATTTAAATAGATTTGAAGTTTGATTTTTGTTTAAACTCTCTTTCTTTTAGGGTTTTTTTAAGCTTATGATGCTATATGAAAAGTTTATGGGAACAAGGAACATGAAGCATAAGTAAAGCAGAAAAATAGTTTATATAAAGCCAAATTAAGTTAATTGCAATGTATTATCTTGAATATCACTAATAACAAGATTAGGTAAAATAGAGAACACACTGGTGGCTGGAAATAACATGATAAAGATTTGAGAGAACAGTAACGGTGTTGGAATGTTTAATAGAGAACACACTGGTGGCTGGAAATAACATGATAAAGATTTGAGAGAACAGTAACGGTGTTGAAGAATGTTTAAATAGGAAACCGAAGGTAGATGCCTTTTACTCTTCTGATTGCTACTTGGAAAGCTGTTATTATACCAAATTATCTGGCATCCTGGTGCAAATTATTTCCTTCCTCAATTCAAGTAATGTGAAGGCTTCTTCCACAGCAGACTGTCAGAGCTTTACAGCAACCATATCCAAACAGCAGCTGCAATAGAGCCATTATGTGGGGCGGGGTGGGGGGGAATCCACCTCCTGTAATTTTTCACCTAAGCTACGTAAGTTGCTGTAAAATGCTT